TTTACAAATAAAAGCATAAAATAGCTCTGTTACAGCATTTATAATAACAATTGATAATTTAAAACAAATAAATTTACCTATTTACTTATTTTTTGCTTAAAAATTTCACTTTGAACAAAATATTAAAATTTCATTGAAGTGCAAGGTATGACCACAACGAAATTGTGTACATGCGAAATGGACAACTGCGTTGTTTTGTGTACCTGCCGGCCATTGTTATGTTGCTGCCCTCTCACAAATGTTCTTGTAGTAGGATTCACAACGCCATTTTCAGTTCACTGTCGTGCTGCTGCAGTCTGTCGCTAGCATTGGTTTCCACACATGAATTAGCATTTTCAATCTATGCGTCGTAAATGGAATAGACAGCAACCGTTAGATTTGCTAACAAAATTGTAAACGAGTCATCCCATTGTATGCGAAAGAAAGAAATATACCGAGAGTGGTTTCGCCAGATCAGTAGGTTGAACGGGTACGTCACACAAACCGACTAAAATGATCTTAGTGGCATAGCAGCTTCAATTAAAATCGATGCAATTGCACACGACCGTTATTGAGCTAAGCCACCAAATTAAGACGTGTTGAGCGGAGCTGAGTCGAACTAAGCTGAGCTAAAACTACATATAAGGCCGGACAAAAGCAATTTCGCACGCTCACGTTACGCGTGCAATAGCCAATTTGGCGATGGCTGGGTGATGTGGTCGCGTCACAAACACTGTGTCAATTATTGGTGACAAAAACACGTAAATAAATATTGGCATAATAAGTAAATCATAGCCTATGCGAACTCATAAATGCGACGGTACTAGTGACGTTTGTTATTCGGTGAATGGTGATGTAAAATGCAGCTTGAAATTAAATTAACCCAGTTGGGAGCACAAAAACACATCGGGTCAATTGATTCTTTGCGCAATGCGAATACCCCTACAAATATAAGCAGTGAAAAAAAAACGGGTTTGACTAGAAAAGTTTTCCAGTTTCATGACACACCTTCGCCTTCATCGATGTTGGTTCATTCGGGTACTCGCGGAATTTTAGGCTACACCCACTAATCTAAGTCTAATTTTTTACGTGTCTATTAGAGTTCTAAAACAATTAAAATGTCCGTACAGCTAAATTTTTTGTGATGCGCTGAGGGTACACGTGCTTCTGAAGTGCCTTTTGTTTTTCTTTCCTTTTCAACTTCATGTTTATATCATCGAGCAGTAAGGACTCTTAGTACAACTAATCATCGCTCATCTCACTTTGCTCTCGCAATCAGAGATTATCTTGCTTAAAGCCGAAATTGCGGATTCGATTGTTAGCAGAATAGTGGTGAAAATGGTGGGAGAAAGCGGCGAGGCTGAGCATTGAAAACAAATAAACTATGTATTTATTGGAGTTGATTAATCAAATTTATTTATGTAAATTTTTTAGAAAAATATTACTAAATCATTTAAAGTTAGAGTCGCTGGAAAACTGGACTTAAAAATCCCCTATCTCGTTTTTTTACCTATACATATTATATGTTTCCTTTTTTCTTTATCTTTGCCCCGCCCCTTACTTTTCTGCCTGCTCTCTCTATTTTCTTTGTCTGTTGGAAAGATTATTTTGTAATTGCCTGATTGTTTTACTAAGAAAAGATATTTCTACTTTACTCAGGGTTTTCAGTGCTACTGAAAGACACTGACAAAGCTTGTACTTTACACTAAACAATGAGCGATACCAAGCACTTTTCCTATAGTAAAACACAAGTTATATCCGAATAAAAGAAGAAACCATCTATATATAACATTTAAAATGTTTAAATTGGCTTACCTTTGTGTTGTGTATATTCAAGATCCAAGAATTATAAGATACCTGGAACAAAGTGAAGAAAATATTAGTTTGAAGTTTTTTTCTATCTACATTAAGACAGCACATCATAGTTTTCATAGCATTATAATTAAGGGATTTTCGAAACTTAAAAATATTTGAAATTTTAAACTAAATCTTTACGATAACTATTGCAAACTATTATAATAATAAAAAATATCGATTGTGAGTGGAATACTATAAATTTCAGCACCTAAAACGCCTAAGCCATTGGAAGAACTGAGGAGCTTACACAATTGCAATGATAACTCCCAAATCTGATGACAGAAAGTGAAAAGATACTTAAAAAGTAAATGAAATGAATAATAATAAAATAGCTATGAAAAGGAAATAATGCGACAATAACAACGACACTATGAGCTAACGTTCAGTTTCACTAAGCACGCCCTCACGCAAAACGAAACGAAGTGTCGTAACGCGTTGAAAGCGCGGCTGAGCAAAGCACATGAAGGAAATACAAAGCAATCACAGCGAACCCAAGAGTCAACAAATCGTTAATGCCACACACGTTGCATTGATATTTGGGCGGTGGAAAGCTGGAGATGTGGCGCAGACGCGACATATAGGTAGGCTCTGCTAGTTCCTTTTATTTTCTACGCAGCGGTGAAGAAAAACAGCGGTGTCTGATTGTGCTGCGGATTATCGGACACGCAGAGCTCTGTATCAGTTTATGTTCGTTTTTTTTTGGCTGTGTTCCGCATACGGCGCAATGTCATGCAAATCTCCAACTCCGCTCGTCGCTTAAAGTATAAGCGGAAGAGGGAGCCTGACTGGGTATATTGCTGGTATATGGTAGATTAGATTTGCAGCCTTGTTTCAGATACGCCTCACGTGCATGCGCATATCGGGAAATGCCTTGTCAACACTTTTCGACATATGTGGCAAGCGACCACACTAGATGTTCAAAGCGTGGCAAGCGGAGCCAAAATAAGCCAGCAAAAAATTTGTCGCTCAAACCTTTTGTTTTACTTTTCGCCAACAGTTGGCGATTGGGCTTTAACAATTACAGTCGCACGCTTTGCATTTTATTGTTGCAGCTTTTGACCATTAATGGCTGTTTAAATGTTCACTTTTGCAAATCGTTATTTCGCAATTACCAACCCGGCGATCTAAGCTACAAAAGCAACATTTTCCGTAGCTAAAAACGCACATCACACTGGCGTTTGAAAGACGTCCAAGTGCTGTTGTTATTGTTTGCGCTACGCGACTTCCAACGCTGTGAATGCAATCGGCTATTGTTTCCATGCAATGCTGTCTAGCTGTGGTCTCATGACATCTCTTGGTTCATCGCCCGCGTGCCATCGTGAGTAGAGTTGGCCTGTCGGCGCTTAATTGTTTGAACACGACACTTTGTTTGGCTAATTTCACAGCAAATTTCAATTGTCAATAACGAGTGTGCGCAATTTGCGTAAGCACTGTTACAAACGCACCCACTCAAAAAAGTAGGAGTTGTTGGCTATTTTAGTTGACGATGAGGGTTATTTAAATAGTCTGAGTCGGGTTTAAAATTAAAATAGAAATTTAAATTTTATGAGATTTTTCCGCATTTATTGCTCAGCAAAAACAAAGACATTAATGCCTAGTCATTGAGTCATTGTATCTCGCTTTTGTTTGTCTTCGCCTGTGATTTAGTGCCACAAAATCGTGAGGAGTCCGCAAGCTATCCTTTGATATTATTCGAGTCGATGTAAATGTTTCGGTGCGGTTATTAATAAAAATTGATACGAAAGAGGAATGCTTTTGTTACGACACTGTTAAAATCGCTTTATTAAACCAATGCTACCAAATATATCATTCGAAGAAAATTGTATAGAATTTCTATGAAGAAATATTAAACAAATAAGGAAGAACTAAGTCTTTGTGAAGCCGAGCATTTTATACTCTTGCCACTTGCGAAGATCAAAGGCAAATACCTTCACTGTTTCGAAAGTATTCAATTTCTTTGTTTGACGAGATCGGAAATCCGAACTGGTATCATATTAACGTATTTTGAAGGTCATAGACTCACTTAGTTTTGTTACTAAATTTTACTTCCTATCAAGCCACGTTCTCTCATTTTTATAATATGAATCCCACCTTGGTCGATAGATGTGGTATATAATCAACTGTAGGTTCGAAAATTTTTAATTTAAGTATGTGGGGCTAAGGGAAGTATAAATTACTTATTAGTTATTAGAGGTCAGTTTTTTTTTCTAATTTTTAGACCACAGGTAATTTAGTGTTTAGTCATGTCATTTTACGGCTTCGAACTAGTCCTCTCTTTGTAACAGGGGCACGGAAGGCTGGACAGACGGACGAATAGACAGACAGTCGCTCGGAATTCAACTCGTCTCGTCATCCTGATAATTTATATTATATATCTCCATATATATTTCGATTATTTTAAAGGATACATACAACCGTGAGTGAACAAAATTGTTAAACTCTATAGCAACATGTTATTCGGACCTACATATGTAGATGAAAAGGGTAATTTCTGAGCCCATTCTAACTTGGTGCCGGAGAGTTCATGTTGTATATTTTGACGAGGCCCCCAATATATTGAAATGAAACCCAGAGGTCCTCAGTTTTTCTATTTCTTGTATCGTTAAAATAAAGTCTGTTCGCTAGCTACACTAACGCACCTACGTATATTGGTGATGTTTCAAAATCCTCGTTAGTTATTGTCTTTACCACGGCGTTCCTGGCTGCGGTCGAGATGACCCGCTTGATAACTTTCTTCTATATCTATACAGATTGGTACTTAAACGATGTTCAGAACTCCGCTCTAAAAAGTCCATTAGTTGCGTTTTTGCATAACTTTATGAAGTGAGTAAAAGGGTAATTCCTTAATTTGAGTCAAACGATTCAGCGTAAACATAATCCTTTCAAAGTTTCAGTGCCGTAACCAAAATCAATTTTCATTTCTACTTTCACTAAGCTCAACAATAAACTATAAACGAGTGCAGTTTATCAACGCTCTTTACACGCTCATTCATTGAGTATTCATTCATGCTTCTGTTGCCCTTATGGCGCCAAACGTGTAGACCTTTTGCAACATGCCCCAACCAAACAACTAAAAACATGCCCAGCAACACTCAATGCCAAAGTCAGAAGCGCAACAAAAGTTGACTAAATACCAAAACAAATAACTCGAACAAATAAAGCAAAAATTACAAAAAGGAGAGTGAGCATTCACCGGCAACCGTGAAATACAAATGAATTTGCCACAACCACAAAGCAGATCGCTATTGCAATAATTCACGCGATACAAATCTCTCATCGCCAGCGTCTGTTGGAATTACCTTCATGCTATTGTTCGGCCTGCTTTTTTATTGCTACAATGGAATCTAAAAGTGTTGCTAAAGCAAGCAGCGACGTGAATAAATCTACACTTAGAAGCCGCGGAATGCGGAGCTTTGAGCTCGGGAGCGATTAAGGCTTAGGCGCCGGTGATGTTGTGGTTGTTTAAAGCTTGGCTGTTGGCTTCTTAGCCGACAGTGACAGCAACGGTGTTGGTATGAACAATATTTTTTGCCGATTTCTTTTTATTTCAAAATACAAATATACATTTTATTTTTGAGCGGCAGCAGTAGTTTACTTTCATCGTGTTCTGTTTTTGGAGCTCTGTTCGCACGACATCATTGCCTTGCCGCTTGACTTCTGTTCCCTCAGTGGCAAGTTGCTGTGTAGCTTTGGTTCTACTTGGTGGCGTGGGAGTTCGGTTCACAGGTGGTAACTGTTTCGTCGACTGCTGCTGCCGTTGTCGCCAGCGGCAATGGTTGATATTTCTGAAATTTCTTTCTCACCAAGTGTGTAATGTCGGTACTGTTAGTATTTTATTGTTGCTAGTTTTTTCAGCCATAATCATAGGAAAAAGAGCCGCGATCTTTTGCTTTTGCTGCTGTTTCACTTCATTATTAGGCATGTATGATTTTGCTTTTTATTTGTTGTTTAAGTGATTGCCGCAAGCATTCGTCTGCACTGCAACATGGCAATGATCCACTTTTAGGGCAACTAATATAATGAAGCAAGCTTTTGAATGGACAGTCAGAAAAGAATCTATGGTGTACAACAATAAATACTTTGTGTTTTTACTCATATTTTCGAAATTAAGAAATCAGTTTTTGAGTAACAAATTAAGAGTTTTGAAAAACAGAAAATATCTAAATAGTTTCCTCCTCCTCTAAACTAAACCCCATTAAGAAAATGATATTTGGGAGAATGGTAAAATCACAATTTAAGCGAAAAAAATCGTACTTCTTATTACTAAAAGAATACATAATACAGAAATTAGAGGAGGACTGTATGCCAGCAACGTGTTCTTCATGAATAGTTCTCACACTTGTTCATGAAAATATAGACAATTTTGTAAAAACTCAAAATTTTTTTGAGAACGGATGGTGGAGATCCGTTCCCCTCAGGATTAGGATATATACATACATTGTTACACATTATCTTTTATAAATCCTCTTTCTTTTCGTAGAACTTTTAATTTATTTAACGGGCGCTAAATTAAGGACAGCAATTAACCACATACTGTAACTATTTATAATACAGGGTGTTGAAAATATTACAATCGTGTGTATAGATATTTAAGAGGCCTACACCATCATATTTAAGTATTATATGATCGAACGACGACGCTTTAAAATAAAAAGGTGAAATTATAAAAGCAAAGAAAGCGCAGAAAGCGCGGAAAGCGTAGAAACTATAAAACAAGCCAGAAATAAAGAGAAAACCACAAGCAAATCAACACTCGTTCGAATGTACCGAGAAATGTGTGTTGCTGCAACAGTTCATGTGCGCTATTGATTTTAATCATTGGGATCACATGTCATGCATAGCGCAATGAGTGCATAAAACGCCACGCAGCCCAAGGGAACGAGCAGAGGGAAGCAGGAAACAGAAAATGAAATAAAAACCACATAGCAGACTTAAGCGTAACGCAAAGTTACTTATCCATACAAAGACAACTTACTGACTCAAAACATCGCGATAACAAG